AACAAAACCAAAAATTTGTTCTTTGAAAGGATCAACAAAATTGACAAACCACTGGTCAAACTGACAAAACAAAAACAGGAGAGGATGTGAATAACCCAAATAAGAAGTGAAATGGGGGACATCACAACAGACCCAACTGAAATAAAATGGATTACAAAAGAATATTATGAAAAACTATACTCCAACAAATTTGAAAACCTAGAGGAAATGGACAAATTTCTAGAAACACACTACCTACCCAAACTACCACAAAATGATGTTGAAAATCTGAACAGACCCATAACAAGAGAAGAGATTGAAACGGTAATAAAAAACCTCCAACAAAAAAAGCCCTGGCCCAGATGGCTTCACTGGAGAATTCTACCAAACATTCAGAGAAGAGCTTATACCAGTACTACTCAAACTGTTTCAGAACATATAAAAGGAAGTGACACTTCCAAATTCATTCTATGAAGCCAGCATAATCTTGCTACCAAAACCAGGCAAATACACCACAAAAGAAGAAAATTACAGATCAATTTCTCTCATCAATATAGATGCAAAAATTCTCAACAAAATTCTAGCCAATACAATTCAGCATCATATCAAAAAAGTAATACACCAAGACCAAGTAAGACTTATACCAGGTATGCAAGGATGTTTCAGCATTAGAAAATCAATCAACGTAATCCACCACATAAATAAAAAGAAAGAAAAGAATCACGTGATCAACTCAATCGACACAGAAAAGGCATTCAACAAAGTCCAGACACCCTTTTAGCTCAGTAATGAAGTCACTCCTGAGGTTCACCCTTCAGCCAAAGATTACACAGGCTCATAAAACAAAACGAGACTAAAGGGGCACAACAGCCCAGGGGCAAGGACTAGAAGGCAGGAGAGGACAGGAAAGCTGGTAATAGGGAACCCAAGGTCAATAAGGGAGAGTGATGACATGTTGTGGGTTTGTTAACCAATGTCATAAAACAATATGTGTACTGTTTAATGAGGAACTAGTTTGTTCTGTAAACCTTCGTCTAAAGTACAATTAAAAAAATAAATAAAAGACTGGCTTAAACTTAGAAAAATAAAGGTAAATTTCAAGGTAACCACAAAGGAAGCTAACACACCTACCCATCAAAAGAAAAAAGAAAAACCTAAAGACTTAGTAAACATGACATCAACAATAATGAAAAAAATTAGAAGAAAATCCATAAACAAAAAGAGCTCAGCACATAAAATCAAGTGGAA